AATGTATGTAATATATATATATATCCACACGTTAAATCTTCAGCAAATCTTTCAATGACAGATAACAAAATGTTTGTGGATATATTCAATCCTATCGTCATATTTTGTGTGACAATTTATTTTATTATTTTGTTTATTTGATGTATAAATATTTTAAATGCATAGTGATTTTGGCTGTTTTTTTCTTTTTCTATATTTATCTAACAAGCAATTTAAACTTTTATAATGCTCATTAACTAAATTTAAACATTCCACAGCCTAAGTTTAAATTGGTGGGCTACTTTATTTTACTATATTCTATAACTGACAGCTTTACATTTTATGATATTTTCTTTAAAGCTTCAGAAGATTTGAATTTTTGTTAATTTAAATATGTGGACTATCTTCTATTTTTCAGTTTTGTTTGCTACTTATGATTTTTCATGTAAGATTGCCTTAAGATGGGCTTTGAATATGTTCGAAAACATTAGTATCTGTCATTAAAAAATTTGCTAGAGAATTAAGTTGTGGCAATATGTATGTTCACATTTAGATTGATGTTTATTTTAATCTGTAAAATTTTTAAAATAATTTTAAATATTTCATGTACAGATCAGTTAAACTGTTGAAAGGTGTTAACAGTAAAGAAATATACCCTTGAAACTCCAGCAGTTCAGATTTATTTGGAACAAATGTTTTTAGCTATATTTAAAGGCTCTCTTCAGGTTGTTCTTGATTGAACATCAAATACCTAAACGATTTTAAATTGCTTTTAATATGTAAGAAAATAAACTTAACAACAAACTAACACTTTTGTATTGTTTTAAAATAAATCTTTATAATATAATCAAAATCTAAGAGTTTCTTGAATTTTGATTTGGAGAATTAATAGCTTTTGAGATTGTTTTTATATAAAATTTCTTTGAATATAATTTAATTAAAACTTGAAAAGAAGCTAAAAAACAAAAAAATTGATTTTTAAGAAACTGCATAAATTATTTTATATATAATGAGGATTTGTTTGAATAATAATAATTAATAATAAACAAAAGCATTTAAAAATTAACTGCATTAGAAATAAGGGAAAACAGTGATAATAATTTGAAATCTTGTAAACAAAGTTATTCAAGCAAATATTATTTATAATCATTACTCTTCTCTCTCCCAAAAAAAACTTATATGATTTTCTTCAACTTGCATAAAGAAATATTTTTTCCCCAATAAATTTAACTAATGTATATGCAAATTATCAATTTACCTTTTAAGGCATGTTATGATTAAATACTATTGTTCAACTTTCAATTTGTGATAAAAAAAAAAAAAACATTTAGCTACAAGTGATGTAGAAATATAAAGGAGTTAAAAGAAAGATTTTGTTTGAAAGACATTTAAATTTATTTATTTAAATTTGGTCTTATTAAATAAAATATCTATTTGTTTTCAAATAAAATTGTAATACATATCAGAAATTATACATGAATTTTCATTATTTAAATAAATCATTAAATCTTTATTTTGTACAATTGCAATAACAGAAGTCACGTGAATTGGAACAGAAGTATAAGATTAATTGTAGAGAAGTAAAAGCAAATTTAAATTTCTAATGTGAAATACACTAAAAACTTAAATATTAGATAGGCTTTTTAACTTATTTATTCAAATCAAGCATTATTATATTTTTAAGTTCCACATAAGAAGGTGATTGCTATTCTTTATGAACAACAAACATAACATAGTTCTTCCTCTCTTTGGTGGTATCATGCACTTCTGTTTTTTTTTTTTTTTTTTTGTCCTATGAGCACCAAGAAGTGAAGTATTTTTTTTTTTTTTTTTAAAGCTAATAGTAGATTTGTCTAAGCCCGCAAGGGGGCAGCTGGATAGTGAGGGACAGATTACTCCCCGAAAAATTTCTCCCATTTTTTGGCCACCCAGATTTGGCCACCCAGATTCAATTCCAGGTTTCCTAGAGTGGTNAATTTTGTTATTGTTTTCCTTCTGTTGTTTGGTTAGAATATATTAAAATTTCTATATTTTTGTAACTATCTCTCTATAATAAATACATTATTTGTTTCATATATTTCAGAAATTAAATGATGCTTAATGATACTTAAGTTCATTTTATATTTAAACTTTAAACTTAATTTAAAAATCTCTAGTAAAATCCAAAAACCTCATAGAGTTGTATAAAATGAGATAGAATTGATTAATTATCCAGCTATGCAATTTTGGAATTAAGAATACAGAAAATACTTTACTGTATTTTCAATTTTAAATTATTTTATGGTTTCATTTGATGAAGCATTGTATTTAAGACAAAATGTGGCATTCAGATTTAATATTTAATTGCTATATTTAGAGACCATATTGTTGCTGTAAAACTATCAGACTGCTTTTTAACTAATATATATATATATATTAGTTTTTATATATTNTTCCTGATGCCACTATTAGTTTTATATATATATATAAAACTAATTAAAAGCTTCAGTCAAAATACTATTTATTTCATGATTACATGATATTTTTCAGTTTTATCAAAAATAAAAAAGATTTTAACAAGTTAAATTCAACATTTTTCAATTTATAAACATTATTTCTTAAGTTTAAAATGAATGTTCTGATATGTAGATATATTGTAATAAAAAAAAGTTTTTTCCCGTTTACCCCTTTATAGAAGTTATAACATTTAGAATAGATATATATGTTAATTGATGACTTTTGTGTCATTTTAAAATATTTTAAAAATCTTTTAGATTGCCCCAGAGCAAGGATTGCAACCTGTTGTTCAGCCAGAAGTCTTAAGACAACAATGCCTCAATAATGCAAAAGATACAGTAAATCAGGCCAACAGAGTACAAGGTGTGCCTTTAGTAGAAAATGAAAGGATAGTTGAATTAGTTTCTCATTTAACATCTCTGATGATTCAAGTTAAGGTAAATCAATGCATTTTAAGACAAGACATTTGAATTTAAAGTATGTTTTGAACATGCAATTTATAGCAGTGATACAAATGAATTTCTAAATAATTTTCAATTATACTCACTTAATTATGATTTATTTTTATTTATAGTATTTTTACGTAAGTAAATCATAAGTATGTACATTTATATTATTTTTAGATATTTTCAATTATTTCACTGATGCTTGGTTTGTCAAAAATCATTCTCAGTCAGATTTTAAAGCACAATTGGATGAAGTGAGTGCATTATACAAAAAAATTATGAACTAGAAATATTAGACTAAAAGATATTATATAAGTGTTTAAGTACTTACATATTAGTTATGGAATGAGTACTGTTGTTGGTTCTCTGAATTTCGGGGGGTTTAATTAATTTTTTTTTAACCTATTTGAAATTATTTTAAATTTAAAGACATTTTTAAATCTGAACAAAATTTTGTATCAGTTATACAATACAGTTCAACTCGGTTATAAGGAACATAGATATAACAACTTCATGGTTATAATGAACAAAATGCCATAACAATTTTAATTTATGTATATTTCTATACATTTTCTCACAGTTATAATGAGGGTATTTCATGGAAATACCGAGCAAATTTTTAGTAGCTATGCAAACACATGAACAATTACTTGAACAATTAAGAATGCAATTCTTAATTTTTCAAGTAGTAAGAAATGCAATACCGAATTCTTGGAAGAGATAAAAAAGAAAATGTACTTAGTTTTATGACCTACATTGATTACAGGTCTGTTTATCACTTAACTCAGCCAATTTACCTATGATTGTAAAATTACTATATATTCTTCTTAGAAACAAACCCTTATATGAGAAGGATGTCTATAAAGAAAAGAAAATGTCATCTCTCAGGTCACAAAAAAGTAGAAATTATTCACAAGTTAGATCCTGGTGCTAAAAACATTGAAATGTATAAAAAAAATTTTCTTTCTCATATTTGACAGTATCAACATTATTGAAAAATAAAGCAATCATCAATTTTAAGATTTGTAAATAAAAAGACTAATTGAAATTTGGCATATTATTAATTAGTATTAACCTTAATTACTAAAAATATATTTTATATTGTAACTTATACTATATTTTTTATTAATAGTTATATAATGTAATTTTATATTTATATATATATTGAATCAACGCTACGAATTTTGCTGCTCATGAAGTGATTGCTATGTGTTTGTGCCAGAAGCAGCTGCCAATTCTCCCTCTAATTACATCACTGCTCTTTATGGATATAAAGAGGAAATCTTGCTGGTCCTCAAATGCTCATTATAACCAAGTTTAACTGTAATATAATAGTTAAAATTTTAGGGTAAAATAAAAGCAAATTTTTTACAAGAACAATTTGCAACATAAAATAAGAAAACAAAACAAAAACAACTTTTAAGAAAATTTTTAAAACTAGGTTAAAACTTTTGCAAACTGATATTTAATTGATTAAAGTAATACTGTATAATAGTATATATTTTTTATAATCATTTACAGTACATTGCAAGAATGTAATTTGTAATTTGCATATACAATAATTTCGTAAACATTACTGTATGCTAAATGGATATATTTAATGGAATAATTTAAATATAACAGTATTTAATGTTCAATAATACAATAGATGAACATGCAATGCAAAATATAAAATTAGTATGATTGTATCTCATGAACAAATACTTTTCTTGGATATTTAAATTTTTGAATTATTGGTTATCAACTATTTGATCTCTCTTGAAGTAATTTCTTTATGATGCAATATATACTGTATTTTCCATTACTGCCCCCATTCTTAAAAAACATTGTTTTAATTTCTGAAAATATTTTTTTATTTAGAGATTTTATTTATAGAATTGAAAAACTTATTTGGGATTAAATTAAGTGAATAAGATTCATGCTGTAGTAAAGCAATTTTTTTCTCAAGTTAAAAAAATAATCTAAGTCAATGTCATTTGAATTATATATATAAAATTCTGTAATATAAAGTAGGTTATATTGAAGAATTGTTTTGAAATTCATGTTTTTTTTTTTAAGTTTAAAAGATATATGTTTCATCGTCATTTGTCATTGTAACTTTAAGAACAGCTACTAAGATTTATGTTTCAGTTTTCCTTTTTTTTAGCCTATACCATCTTTCATAAAATTGCCCTTCTAGTAGAAAAATTATTCTTCAAAGATTTTTATTGCTTTGAATAAATATTACTTAGAGACAGTTTTCCATTTACTAAATAGACTAACATATTTTTATTGTCATTATTAGGGTTTCTCAAACGAGATCCGGGATTCCGGTTGTTTTTTTAACCTGGGAAATTCTTCTCATCCCAGGAAATCTCGCAAATTTCTTAAACATTCATTTTTTTCTTATTTTGTGTTAAGGTTGAGGAAATTTTGCAAATAGAAAGTATAATTGACTCACAAACTGTCAGAATACATTTGTATTTATTAATTTTAAATCTACTTATTAGTTTTTTTTAATTTTTCCTTGTTATGGCATGTCATAAATGGTCAATAATCAGTGCATAGATTATTTGTGACAGGACTCTGAAAATTCTTTACTTTTCGGAACCTGTAATATCTGGAACAATTGTGCTTATGGTGTCTTAATTTTTAACCATCCCCAGTAGATTCGATAACTGCATAACTCCAGGTTGTGCAAATTGGGCAAGGATACAAATGAGTATGAAGTCTTCATGTATGAAGTTTTTCTTCATAAACCTGATTATTAAAGCCAAATGAATTGCCAAATTATCGGACTACATTAAAGCAGCTGAGGTAGACAAATCAAGAATACTAGACAGCAAAAGAAGTACTACAATCGTGAAAACGAACTTGAAATCTTCCAGGCTACAAGCGAAAAAAACATATAACATCTGTCTTCTACTAAATGCATTAAAGATGATTCCACTAACATCAATTAAATCAGAAAGGGCATTCTCGGTAGCAGGACTTTTCATTACTAAAATAAGAATCAGATTGACTGATCAGAGTATTGACCATCTTTGCTTTTTAAAGTCTTATTATAAAAATTTACAATAATATTTTGTATTATGTTTTATTTAAAAAACGAAAATTACCTTTTAAATTAGGAGTTTGATCTAAGTTCATTTTTTTAAAATTTTCAACTCAATTCAAAGCATTTTGTTGTTGTTGTTGTTGTTTGCAGTTTCCAGCAAACTTTAATAAATTTTTTCTATTTGTGAAAATTTCTACGTAATTCAAAGGTAATTTTTAATATATATATTATACAGCATTATTAATGATTTTGGAGGTTGCAGAACGTATTAAATTACTTTAAAAAATAAAAAATAATTATATCATTTGATTTCATGATATTTTGTATATCTTAAAAATAATTAATTCTGTCCCGGGATCCCGGGAAACAGTTCACTTTTATCCTGGAATCCCGGGACAAGCAAAAGACCGGGAAATGAGAAACCCTAGTCAGTATGTATATGTATCAACATAAGTTAAATAATAATTATTGTATTTAATTTAAACTACATTTTTATGTATTTCAAACCAATTATTCAATATTTTACATGAACAAAAACAGAAGCAACGATATAATTTTAAAAAGAAATAAAAATATTCTTTTGTAGAATCTAGCTGAGAATGATTTAAATTCATTTGAATTCAAGTCTCTGTCTGATTCTCTTGTTGAAATACAAGTTAAGCTTGAACCTCAAAACATCAGGTAATTTATTATTATTTCTTCTTTACAAATTGCATCTAGATTACTAATTTTTAGTAGATTAAACAATGAAAATTTTATTAGTTTTTAACTTTTCCACAATTAAAGATTCTTACTGAAATAATAATTAAATTTAGGATTTGCTGAAAGATATAACTTGTTACCTTTGAAAATCTGACAAGTTTTTTAAGTATATATATTTTTTTCTAGTGTGTTTCAAAATAACGTGGAAATTCATATCAATCACATACAGAGTGGATTAGGACAAATGGGTAATCTTCATGCTTTTGCCACACAAAATATTCAGGCATGATTATTACTTTTATCATAGATAATATTGTTTTAAAAATTTTTACAAATTTTCCAGTAATTATTCGTAGAGGATATTTTTCTTTTTTGTTAAATATATCTGTTTAATTTTTAAATAATATAAAAATTTTGTGGCAATGTTAAATTTTATTTTACAAATATTTTATCATTTATATATATATATATAATTTAAAACATTTTATTAACTAAATTAAACATTGTAAATGTATAAAAAAGCCAATATGTCACTTTTAAATAGGAATGAACATAAATTATATAAGGCAAAAATAGACCAGTGCCTTAATCTTATTCAAATATTTTATCTTATTTTTAAGAAATTTCAGACTGTTGTTATTGTCAATATCCTTATTTATTACCCATGCTGTAAGCAAAAATGTTATTTCTTCAAAGGAATATTTGCAAAGTGATTAGTATTAATCTTTTATATTACTTATCAAAGATTAAGTTATAATGTTGAAAAATATTTGTTGTTTAAATTTTCTAATTGTTTTTAAACCTTTTATGGATTGATTGATTTTGTAAAAATTTCATTGTTGAAATTTTCTTAAATTATTTATATATAACCTTATATATATATATAACTTTAGGATGCAGAAGAGTGTTATAAATGATTACATAAAACATCATTTAAATTATCTTGCAATCTTTTCTTTGATATTATAATGATTACAAGATAATGTATTCTTTTTATATTTAAAAAGATGTTATTAACCTGCTTAATTATCACTTTGTAAATCTTCCTTATTAGAAAATTTTAAAAAGAATGTATAATTTTCTTTTTTAAATAAATATATAGTAAAATAACATTGCTGTTTTCTCATAACTTGTAATTTACATTTAGTTGTGAATATCAACTGGATTCCATTTTAACAATATATATATATATCTATATATATATATATCTATATATATATATATATATCCACACGTTAAATCTTCAGCAAATCTTTCAATGACAGATAACAAAATGTTTGTGGATATATTCAATCCTATCGTCATATTTTGTGTGACAATTTATTTTATTATTTTGTTTATTTGATGTATAAATATTTTAAATGCATAGTGATTTTGGCTGTTTTTTTCTTTTTCTATATTTATCTAACAAGCAATTTAAACTTTTATAATGCTCATTAACTAAATTTAAACATTCCACAGCCTAAGTTTAAATTGGTGGGCTACTTTATTTTACTATATTCTATAACTGACAGCTTTACATTTTATGATATTTTCTTTAAAGCTTCAGAAGATTTGAATTTTTGTTAATTTAAATATGTGGACTATCTTCTATTTTTCAGTTTTGTTTGCTACTTATGATTTTTCATGTAAGATTGCCTTAAGATGGGCTTTGAATATGTTCGAAAACATTAGTATCTGTCATTAAAAAATTTGCTAGAGAATTAAGTTGTGGCAATATGTATGTTCACATTTAGATTGATGTTTATTTTAATCTGTAAAATTTTTAAAATAATTTTAAATATTTCATGTACAGATCAGTTAAACTGTTGAAAGGTGTTAACAGTAAAGAAATATACCCTTGAAACTCCAGCAGTTCAGATTTATTTGGAACAAATGTTTTTAGCTATATTTAAAGGCTCTCTTCAGGTTGTTCTTGATTGAACATCAAATACCTAAACGATTTTAAATTGCTTTTAATATGTAAGAAAATAAACTTAACAACAAACTAACACTTTTGTATTGTTTTAAAATAAATCTTTATAATATAATCAAAATCTAAGAGTTTCTTGAATTTTGATTTGGAGAATTAATAGCTTTTGAGATTGTTTTTATATAAAATTTCTTTGAATATAATTTAATTAAAACTTGAAAAGAAGCTAAAAAACAAAAAAATTGATTTTTAAGAAACTGCATAAATTATTTTATATATAATGAGGATTTGTTTGAATAATAATAATTAATAATAAACAAAAGCATTTAAAAATTAACTGCATTAGAAATAAGGGAAAACAGTGATAATAATTTGAAATCTTGTAAACAAAGTTATTCAAGCAAATATTATTTATAATCATTACTCTTCTCTCTCCCAAAAAAAACTTATATGATTTTCTTCAACTTGCATAAAGAAATATTTTTTCCCCAATAAATTTAACTAATGTATATGCAAATTATCAATTTACCTTTTAAGGCATGTTATGATTAAATACTATTGTTCAACTTTCAATTTGTGATAAAAAAAAAAAAACATTTAGCTACAAGTGATGTAGAAATATAAAGGAGTTAAAAGAAAGATTTTGTTTGAAAGACATTTAAATTTATTTATTTAAATTTGGTCTTATTAAATAAAATATCTATTTGTTTTCAAATAAAATTGTAATACATATCAGAAATTATACATGAATTTTCATTATTTAAATAAATCATTAAATCTTTATTTTGTACAATTGCAATAACAGAAGTCACGTGAATTGGAACAGAAGTATAAGATTAATTGTAGAGAAGTAAAAGCAAATTTAAATTTCTAATGTGAAATACACTAAAAACTTAAATATTAGATAGGCTTTTTAACTTATTTATTCAAATCAAGCATTATTATATTTTTAAGTTCCACATAAGAAGGTGATTGCTATTCTTTATGAACAACAAACATAACATAGTTCTTCCTCTCTTTGGTGGTATCATGCACTTNTTTTTTTTTTTTTTTTTTGTCCTATGAGCACCAAGAAGTGAAGTATTTTTTTTTTTTTTTTAAAGCTAATAGTAGATTTGTCTAAGCCCGCAAGGGGGCAGCTGGATAGTGAGGGACAGATTACTCCCCGAAAAATTTCTCCCATTTTTTGGCCACCCAGATTTGGCCACCCAGATTCAATTCCAGGTTTCCTAGAGTGGTAGGCTGACACTTTAACTGCCCTAGCCAGTGGAAACATATACTTATAATCATTACTGAATGCTAGTGCTAATCTGTAATTTAATGTTTACTCGTGTATGCAATTTTATGTTGGTTTAAACAATGTGAGTTTGTGTTTTTATAACTTTTATGCTCCACTTGATGACAAAAAAGGATAAAATTTTCAATTTAGGTAAACAAAAATTCAGATAATATGGAGTTTTGAATTTGGTCCCATCAAATCCAGACAGACAAAAATATAAATTAATTAATTAACAAGTTTCTACTGTATTTTGTTGATCTTTGATGGCCGTATTAAATATTTTGAAGAAATAAAAATCTTTTTTAATTTTAATTTGTTAAAACTTTTATTGTTATTTATAAATTAATATGGGGAAAATACTTTGAGAAGTTAGCAATGAATATTTGAATTTTCTCAAAGAATGATAAATAAATGTCATTGATATGTCTGTCAACAACATACAGAGTAAATATGATATTGCTACCACACTGACAAATGATAGGATAGTTTATTTAACCTGCATTATTTTGCTCAACTCAAAATGTGAGTAACCCATTAAATGACAGTTAATCAGATCTATTTTGATAAAATAAAAATATAAAAGAATTGTTGATGGAAAATCTTTAAAATAATGACTTGTAGGGAATTCTGCCTTAGTATGCAGTTTGTATTTCTGCTTTAATGGTAAATTCTTCAAGCAGTCATTATTTGCTGAAATTTAGCAGAATTAGTAGTCAGAAAGATTTAAGAAATAATAAAAATATTTCATGTGGTATATTTGTATACCAATATCAAGAATTGAAATGACAATGTATGTACTGAACATTCAAGGAGAGCATTTAGATACTGTATTTTAAAAATATATTTAATACAATTTTTCATAAATAATTAAAATCTGTAATATTTATAATTTTTTGAAAAGAAACATAAATACAAGCTTGAATTTAAATAAGGTGCCTAGTCTCAAGTTATACATGTAACAACAAGGACTTGCTGAGAATGTTACTTGATGTGAAGTCATTCAGTGAGATCTTTCACTGAACAAATTTATGTATTGTGATATTCTCAATAGATTTGTGTTACCATACTGAATACTAAGTTTCAAGAAAAGGATGAGTATAGAGATAAGTAGGAATTTTGGAGACATTTTTAAATGCATTCATACAAATAAATTGAAGACTTGGGACAAGAACATGTTAACTGTATCGTTATTGGACATTGTTGAATCTCTACACAAGGGTAGATATGATTTCTAGATTCATGACCCATAACTTCTCATATATTAGAGTTGATAGGTCAGTCTAATTAATCAGCTGTGACATGTAGATACAGGACAAATTTGGAACTTAAGAGCAATTTTTCCAGAAATGAAGAAACAAGTTAACATATTCTTGCCCCAAGGTCTTTGATTTGGTATTTTTTGAATGAAATTGCGGATATTTTACTATATACTTTTCATGTAAACCTTGTTTATATAACTTTCTAAATACTTTATGAGTTTTGAACAAAAAGAAATTCTTTCCCATCTTGAATTTATTGGTATTTTTAAATATTGAAGTTTAATACTTTTAAACTTTAGAGAAGTTTGTACATGCTGATACTATAAAATATTTATATGATGCATACAAAGCATACTAATCAGATTGCTTGCTCCTTGATTTGTCTGCCTTCCATTTCCTTTTTCCGAAGAGATTCAGTCAGTAGTGTAGACTGAAGGGTATCGTCTAAGGCAATCTGTCTGCACAACTTCCTCTTAGTGCGAGGTGGAGATAAGTTTAAATCAATTGCCCTTCCTCTTTCTCCAGTTTCTATATTCATATGTCGGCAGGGATTTTGGCTGTCACTACTGATGGAAGATTTTGACAATTTGAAAGTTGAAGTGGAAGATTCTGGTCGCATGCTAGATGATGATTCTCCTGAAGAACGTCTTAACAGTTTACGAGATTCTTGGAACCCATGTCGCTCCAAACCTCGCAGAGAAATTGCTGCCTGTTTCCAGCTGTCTGAACGGGAGGAGAAATTTTCACTGGATATACTTGAAGCATGTTTGTGTCGACACTGCATATGATTTTGGATTTGTGTGATGGTTAGAGTATATTCTTCTCCTGCATTTGGTTTGCTATCTTCATGGCATAAAAGCCAAGTCTTGGCCCATATTTTCCAGTCTTTGGGCTCTTTTTTGATTTTCTTCATTGGTTTATCTGTCAGAGAGTTGGTGTTTGCTACTGTTTGATGATTAGAAAAATTAGAACTATGTTGGTACCTACCTATACCTCTAGTTACACGTGATTCTTCAATTCTCTTGCATATCCATATACAGTCTTTCTTGAATTGTTTAGTAAATATAGCATATAAGAAGGGATTGGCACAACTATTCAAAGGTAATACAAAAATCGCAAACACTTTGGCTTCTTCAGTGGAGATCAGTTGAACACCAGATATAGCTGTCAAAGAGAAGAAAGCAATAGGTGCCCAACAAAGAAAATCTGTAAAAACTAAAAGAGCCATTCTCTTTGCAATCCTGTATTCATTGGAGTTCCAAGCCTGAGATCCACGAATGGAACAATACATTTTCAGGTAGCAAGCCATCAAGATTAAAAATGAAACTCCATTTGCCATTATCAGGAACACAATATATGCTATTGATAGATGTGTATCTGCTTCAAATGGTAAACAAATGGCAAACTTTTTATAATCGCTGATACCTATCAAGGGTAAAACTGACATGGAAAGAGCAAAAATCCATCCTATTGCCATAATATAGCCAGCATGTCTAAGACTCAGACGTTTGTTAAGATGCATTGCATTAGTGATAGCATATTTTCGCTCAAGAGTAATAACAGATAAAGTGTATACTGATAATTCACTACTGAGAACCCCAAGAAATCCTGCAATTTGACATCCAGCTGAAGTCTGCCATAAAATGGCATGCATCTGTAATTACAAAATAGAATCTTAACAATATTTGATTTCATAAAATCTAAATAAAAAACATTCATTTATATAATTTTAAAAAAGTAAAATACCTTGAATTCACCTAGCGTAGAAGCATCTACTACTGCAAGAATGCCAAGATAAATGCCCATAAAAAAATCAGCAATTGCTAAATTGCAAACTAAGAATCTAGGCACATCCATTCTGCTTCTTCCAAAAAGGAGAACAGTTACCACAGTTCCATTTCCCAACATAGCTAGAAGGAAAACTACCCAAACTCCACAACGAAGAGTCCACCAACCAAACAGGTCTTCACAAGGTAGGAAAGGACCTAAACGAAATTTATTTTTAAAAATATTTTTGAGCTTACATTTAAGTGCAATATAATTATTTACTGTTTACCAGGTACAGGCAAGCATTGTAAAGGTTGATTTAAATTTTCTTCAGAATTTAAGACAAATTTGTAATCATGATAATATTCTTCATACTGTAGCATGTCATCAGCATACTCTTTAGCTAGATTATTCCAGAACTGGCTGGATAACTTCCCACTTATATTTGCTAAAATAAATAAACTTTATTTTTCAAAAAAGTAGGGCAAGCTCTCTAAAGAAGTGAAAAATACATACCATAAGCAGACCAAAAATTGCTTGCATTAGACAACCATAGAGAATCATCTATATCATCTTTAGCTAACCACAATATACTTTCTTTGAGAGATGATAGAGGAGGAGGAGCCACACTGACTGAATGAAGAAAGGCACAACAGTGATAGGAGTAGGATAATACCAGATTATGTACTTTGGGAAAGGCTTGAGGAGAAGGAAACTCTTTGAGATTAGGATTATTAAAGGTCTTCAGTTGACGGATATTCTTTAATCCTCGAGTAGGCAATTTGGGAAAGTAATTATTCCCCAGATTCCTGTCAAGACGAAGCGAATTAATGCGATTGTCAGGGGAATAAAATATAAAATTTAATAAAAAATATAAAATTTGTAACCAAACTTACAAATCTCTTAGTTCTTTTAGAGGAACAAAAGCCTCCGGATGAATTTCGGTGATTTTATTATCCATCAGATTACTGTGGATGAATAGAGTTACAATAATATCAAAATTAGAGAGTGAGATAAGTAAATTTAACTTACAGAACTTGAAGATTTTCTAATCCCAAGAAGGATTGTCCACCAATAGATTTGAGAAGATTGTGACTAAGAAATAAATCGATGAGTTTGGACTGGTAAAGGAAATGGGAATTCGGAAGTAATTTGATATGATTATATCTCACATCACTGAAATAAAAATTATAGTTTTGCAAATTACATTGGAGGAATGGTGAAAGTTTAGAGAGAGAGAGAGAAGAAGAAACTCACAGTAAACGCAACCCCAAACAATGATCAAGTTTCGGTAAGACATTCAGGCGATTGGACTGTAGATTACTGAAATAAAACATTATTTATAGATTAATTGTGACTGAAATAATATAAATTAAAAGGCAACTTACAGGCTCTTCAATTTTGGGGTTTTCTGGCATAAATCATCAGGTACAAATTCGAGTAATCCTCTGTCCAATCGAATGTGCTCGAGAGAAGGCAACACGCTGATATTAGGAAAACGGCGTAACCGATAGGCTTTCGATACGATACTAATAAAAGACCATCAGTTCTATACTCTGTTAAGAATATTAAAGTAAAAATAAATATCTTACAGTTGTTTCAAGTGGAAAAGCTGGCGGAAAGTACAGTTTTCAATGGGATTGTCGGAAACATCTATGAGGAATAGGTTAGGAGTAGAAACGAAAGTATCTGCTCCTATCTGATCGATATGATTATGAGTGGCTGTGCTATAGAAAAATACAAGTTCATACCGTTTAATGTTTAACAATTTAAACTACAAAACAATGAGATCACTTCGAAAACGGTCGCATGCCGTCTGTGACGTCATTATAAAAGGCCGTTCGTTTTCAAAAAATTTACACTTTAATCGCGTTTAGCATTAACGCTTTAAATATATTAACTCGACAGGTGGACGCGTGATTTTTATTAATAGTTTTATTGTTATTTAATATATAAAATCAAATTCTAAATTCATCTTCAATTCTTTTTTCTTTTGTAAAGATTGAACTGATAGCAGAAATTACAAATTTACTATTAATTCAAGGCTTGAATGAAGAAACACGAGTTTAATATTGATTCAATCGATGCTGTTTGTAACGGGACACGACATTGTTGCGTGGTGAAACTTTTATGTATCGTTTTATTAAATCGCAAACCATTGGAGATTGGGAGAATGGAAACACGTCACGAATCGATTTTTTCCCCTCGAATTAAAGATCTTGTAATCTTTGCGTGCATGTATCTTAGTAATAAGTAGAATAACGTGTTACGACGTGTATTCGTCACCATTTCTCTTCGTTGACTAAGCTCCAAATTGGTACGGATGTTTAAATTAGTACATATTATTAGTCAAACCACGTGCTTCGTTACGTTTAGAATTTGATTTTAAAACAAAAATTATATTGATTTCATTTTTAAATATTTAAATTGCTTATTTTAAGAATGATAATTATGAATAAGATCTTAAATGAAGTACACTTTCGTCCCATATCTGCAAGTGTGATTTAATAAACACGTGCGACTAGACTAATTTATAGTATTTTCGGCCTACGTGTGAATAAAAATATTCAATTAAATTCATTCAGCTTCCAGAATGATTAAATTTTCGTGGCTGCGTTTGTTGACGTCAATAGCCAGCGTGTTTCCATTTTCTAAAGTGGTCTCGTTTTCCCGTTTTAAAACGGGCAAGAGCTTTCATTTAAATTAGGAAAGACGAGAACGACTTACAATTCTCTCAGAAAAGGCAAGTTGGTCAACGGTTGCGGTAGTTCTTTTAGTGAATTATGATTTAGATTTCTGCAAAAAAAAAAACAAAAAGAATTATTGGTTTAATATTAAGAAGACATCGTTCCGTACGTAATCTACACGGGAATACGCGATTTAGTAGTGTTTGTATTTCGACACGATTTATATCGATGATGGCCGACACCCACACGTTCGAATACGAATTCGAGCATGTGGATGCTGCCGTGTCTTCGCATCTCGATGCAGACGAATTTCTAGAAATGCTGTTAAAGCAACGCACGTACTGTCTCGTGATTTCGGTCACTGCTCCTCTACACAACCAATCGATACTAACGACTGTCCGTCATTGACTGGCTAAAGAAAACACTGACGATTCTTAATTAAACAAGCGAAGATCCTCTGTAATATCGGAATAGGACAACGAAACGATATCCTTAAATAGGGAGAAGTAAGGCAAACACGAGTCGATCGATATCCACAATGGAGAGAAAACACAGATTTTTTTAAACAAAACTGCGGATTTCTGAGTGGGATGTTGAAAGCGGACAAATAAGATAAAGGTTATTAAATTGGGGTACACGTAGGAGGATGAAGAGCGAATCATTTGTGGGCGGATGTTATGAAGAAAATAATGTAACACCCCCGCCCATTCATAACTGAATAGCAATGTTTAGATTTAAAGATTATAAATCGGGATTAAAGGAAAATAATCTGTCTTAACGCGAAACGAACGGTGCGATTGGTTGAAATTGGTTTTTTTTCCGTACCGCGCCATTCAATGTTGATCGTTAACCGCGGTCGCGTACGCGATTAATTATTGGTTAAATTATCGATGAGGGAGATGGCGGATGAAAGTGAAGATGAGATTACTCACAGCAGTAGAGCGGTTTCTGGCACGTCTTCTGGAACGATGGATAGGGAAGAGCGGGAGCAATCGACGGAATCTTCACCATTTTTTCGACTACATACGCATTGCTTTGGACAGGTGGAAGTGATGTTGCCAGTTACCTGGATCCAAACAAGTGTTAGCCAGTGAGCAGCCGCTATCATTCGCAGGTTGTTGTCGGTAGGTGTCATGTCGAGTTCGTTCGGTCCGTTCTAAGAGCGTTTTCCACCCGCGATGTCGATTTCCGTCTTTCGCCGCTAGGTGGTCTGGGTCGACGTCACGCCGTTTAATTTTAATAAATTCTAATCCGTTCGGGTGACGTCACATCCAATCTCGGTGGATAAAGGTCAGAGTTCACGCGTTTAACCGATGAATGTCGGCGTTTAATTTTCTTATTTCTTTTAGACGTGATCTTTCGGCCCGATTTTAATTAAATTTTAAGTGGGAAAATTAATTTATAATTTGAAACGGTGTTAAAAAGTTTTTCGGTTTTGGTCCCGTTTAGTGAAAACGCCGTCCGAAATTAGCCGTAGGCATTACTTTAAAAATTAATTATTAATTTTTGTTAATTAAAAAAAAATGTAACGTTGATTTAAGGCCTCCCGTGCAAAATAGGATGTCAAAATTTCGAATTTTTCCGAAAAATAAATATTTTTATAACAACAGATGGCAGCATTGTAAAACACTATTTTCTACCCCATTAGATTTTTATCCAATGCAATTTCAGTAGTGACCAAAACGAATCCTAGATGGCGACACTAGTAAAATAAAAACTTTTAATCATCAGTTATATAAATTACGTAATTGAAAGTTGAAATTATTTTTATAAAAATTTAAACCGAGATTTGATAGTTAATAAAAATCGTTGAAAAAATCACAATAATTAAATATTTTAAATTATTCAAAACAAACAAAAAATCAATTAAATAAAAAAAAATCGCCATATTGAAAAAAATCAATTATGATTTACATGGCTGCTAATTTTATATTTTCTGACATATTTATGCAAATTATCCTCTGATTATTTATATATTAGAAACAAATATATTAAGTATATTATTATTATTATTTTATATCGAAATCGGCGTTATTTTACATCACTAAATCGACTAACTCGTGCCTATTTTACAGCGAAAAACACCAGAAAACATCCAAAATATACATTAATAGTATACTATTATATTATATACACGCATAGTTAACAGTTAAATTATATTTTGAAGCGTAACCACGTGTAATTGATACACTATCCGAGACTATATTCAGTTATATCTGTGCACATTCAATTATGTGGTATATGCAGGACGTAACTAGAGTAGAGCGTTATGTACGGACGTAGTAAGAAATCAATATTAAAAAACGTGTATGATGTGTATTATGATTAACTTTAAAACTGTATAACGTTTATGCATTAGTTGACTTAATTTGCATCCTTATATAGTGCCTACATACAAAAATATAATATTACACGTTACACAAGGTAAGTTCTCTTATATGAAACGTGGGATTTGTGTTTAAATTAATTGGTAAAAAGTTTTAATATAAATATTTAATATATTTTTTGATTATAATTAATAAAATTAAAAACAGATTACGAATTTTAACTTGAAAAATTATATAAACTTAAAAAAAGGAGAGATTCTGTTACAGATTTAAGCGTATTGCAATCTTTCCTCGATCTTTTTATGTAAAAATCATTTATAAATACACTAAATGGCAAAATATCAATTTATAAATCTCTTGAAATCTTAGTATAGTTTTAAAAGATTTTAGATCGTTTTTTTAGGATAAATTAAGTCTCTAGTTGGTCATTACGCGTATAAAAGCTATAACAATCCAGATTTTTATTAATTATTTTGAGTTAATTGATGCTTTTTATAAGGTTCCGAAGTAATTTTTTATGTATAAAAATATATTTTTTTTTAACTGAAAATGCTCTCCAGAAGGAAGTAAAGTAAGTGCATTTTGTTTTATATTCGATAATAAATTTCCAGATGAAGAATGAATATTGTTATTCTGATATATAGTCCAAACGGTTCGGTGTTTCCGCATAGAAATCTTAAATATAGGGCACGTTTTGTTTTTTAAATATACTCTCTGCGGGATTAATATTTATTATTATGAGTAGACAAAAAGTAATCTGATGATCTTAGGCCTATTAATTTAAGAAATTCGATAGCGTTGTGGGTTAAAGAATTTTTTTAAAAATTGGTTTTGGGAATTGTTTTCTTAATTTTATTATTTTCGGGAGGAACTATTGAACAATTAAAGGAATATTCCAAGAAGAAACAACCAATCAAAATGAAAATGACAGTTCGTAAATTTTTTTTTCGTAAAATTGTGCAACTGAAGAATTTTTCGAAGTTTCCTTCCTAATTGTGCAAAATTCGTGCATCATTCGGCTGAATAAAATGATACAAATTTACAAATTTCATTTCTCCACTCCATTTTGATTCGCGACAGGCAAACGTCCATGCTGCACACCAACTCGGCAGTTGATATGAAACCTGTAAGAACATTACACACTTGTATTTACTACATGAATAAATCGAGGAGGGGGATCGAATTAAGAAAAAATTAGAATTGTTGGAAGTATAATTAGGTCAACCTATGCCCACGACGATCTCCCTCAAGTGGAATTGCTAACGGATAACGATGTGGAAGGGTCGGAAGCTTGCAGTTCCGATAGACCATTGGTGGTACCACCGGACATCTTCGCTCTCATCAACTCGGCATTTCCGCTCATCAAGGGATTGACTAATGTAGGTGGATCCAGAAGACCCAATCCGTTCTCTCGATACCTATATACAAGATTCTCCTACTTACTTTTTGCGTATTTTGCTGTATAAAACAACGAACGATGCACCTACCAGAGGCTCTTCATTTCTTGTCGACGATTCCTCATAATCTGTTTATATTCCGATATTCTCAACTTCTTTCCGTCTACGATGCATGTTCTCTTAGGTCTTGGCCTGTATCTGTAATCGGGGTGTTTCTCCATGTGTAGTTTGCTCAAGCGCGATTGTTCTTCGTAATACGGTTGCTTTTCCGTATTGGACATGGCTTTCCATCTTGCACCTGAACGAAAAATGCTCTTTTTTAACAAATACAACAAGTGAGAGATGCTTCGCCTCCATTACTCACCTAAAATTTTGGATATGTTCGAATTATGCATATCTGGGCACGCTTTCAAGATCTTCCTCCTTTCGTCTTTCGCCCATACCATGAACGCATTCATAGGCCTTTTTATGTGCGGTTTGCCATCGCTGTCCTTTTTAGTTTGTCGAATAATTTTGGCTCCGAGAATTTTACCTGAAAATAAAAAATTTCTCTCTTGACAAATCAATTCTGTTTGGATCTTCATTCAGTTTTACGTTGCAATAGATCACTTAGCGGAAAATGACATTTTTGAAGATTCCGATCTCCATTACACGCTGGAAAAGGCTTCCGAAGTGCCCTAAAACTTCTTAATTTGTAAGAAAATTAAGCGAAATGGATTCTTACTTTGACAATTAATGACATTTTCACTTTTTTTCTCGCTGGTATCGATAGTATCCTTCCGCGTCGTATTCATGTAAACGGTGAAGTCACTGCATTCGTTACCCAAGAGAGGGCGAATTGTATCTTTGTTCGGAGTTACTAGAAAAAATAAAAGATTCGACAGTTATTTTTTAAAGAAAATAATAAAAACAATAAACTCTATTAACGATAATATTCTAACCTGAATGCCCAATAAGATCAGAGGCAGAGAAAGACGTTCTCAAATGAGTTGTTATATGGCTATAATGGGGAGAAGCAGTCATGAACTGTGACGCTACCTGCCAAACAGAATTAGTAAATTGGACAGTAATCCTAAATTAAGAATTGTAGATTAAGTCAACACTTACGGGAAGGGTGGAGGAACCGGAAACGGATTGTATCAAAGCAGTAGGGCACAAGGGTAAGGAAGGCGGTGCAGATTCGTGTCGTAAACTAGTCTGTGGAGAAGGACTGCAACTGGTACTGTAAAATGGATGATGATAGTTAGAAACGGGATGATAGGGAGCACAAAACTTGAATTATTCGAAAATTAAATAACTATTTCGGCCCGTCAGGACGTCGGGGAGAGAAACTATGTCGGATTTCTTTCATCTACTCGATCGGAAACCGGCCCAATCGATTTTTGATGCAAAAATCCTACCCTTTTTTTTCTTATTTCCTCCTCGGCATTTTAAACTGTAAGCTTAGAGGAGAAAGATGATTTATGTGGCGTGCGGAAAGAGGAAAGGCGCCAAACTCGCTTTTTTAAAGCATAAGCATTCGATATGGTGGAAAATTTAAGAAGCCAACCCGACGAGCACGTTTAGACCTACCTGCTACAGTTGCTGCCCATCGACGCACATTTGGGTTTAGATAGATTGAGAGGGGCATCAGATTCCTGTCCGGACACCTGATTTCTGGAAACGCAGTTTGAAGAAGCGTTGAGGGAGGAAGGCGACAAGGAAGTACTAGTGACAGGCAAAACGGGATGTGACATCCACGAGGTCAGAGAGATCTGGATGGAGGAAAAAAAATATATTAAATGTAAGGAGCGGGTGGGGTGGGCGGGAAGAAGGGCCGTCCCGGGATGTAGCCTCGGGCGGACGTTCCTCCCGTTTTCTTTCCAGTGGCGACACGTGCCACTAATTGGCGACTTTACCTCACGTGCGACGAATTAAAAGCTTCACCTGACGGGGCATCGGCGGCTTTCTTGCGGGCGAAAGTAGGAGGGAGCCATGAATATTTGATGCAGAATTAAGGAAGGACAGCGTTTCGTCAACAGTACTGCCGCCTGCTTTAATAACTCTTTTTTAATGGCCGCTCTTCTTCCGCTTTAAAAGCGAAAAAAACTAGCCATAAATTAATAAGAGTAATTTCTTGGGCTGGCAGAATGGGTTCACTTTCCATCCCTACATATTAGGGTCGAGACATTATTTAATTAAAATCGATGATTTGGCAACACGCATATGAACAAATCGTGTTTGGTTTTCAAGGAAAAAAAATATTATATAAAATGACGAAAATGAATAAATANAAATGTATATCGCTATTTTATAATTTTTAAATAGATTTAATCATTAGAAACTTTAAATAAATTATACTTCAATCGATTATAATTTCAATATCGATATTTACTTTAAAAAATCCAAGTTTATCTGCTAGAATTAACTAAAAATTTAAAATATTTTCCTTGAAAAGAAATTAAAAACCTGTCACGGGCGGGCAACGATCACGTGATCCTGAAAAAATCAAAACAGTGATTAAATCAGTGTTTTGTGCTAAACGTTATTAATTTTTAGGTATGAAGCGGAAGAAATGGCAACGAAAGTAGGCCCTCGTCATCTCGCATCCGAGACTATTCCCGACTGGAATATCGTTTTACCCGCATTTACTCATTCTTTACGTCATGGACGGGGCTCCTCCCCATCTCTCCACTTCGCAGAAACCATTTTGTGCCGCTGCAAGCTATCGTGAGACTCGGATTATTGGGCGGAGGAGGGAAGAACCGGACGTCCCGACGTTGCCCGGGGTGAAAATTTCACTCGGGCCAACTAAAGAATGGAAGATGCACGTTTGACTCCAGCCACTTGTTGGCTTACGTAATTGAACGGACCAGCCAGAGGTGGGTCAAAGAGAGGAGAAAGAAGAGGCTTTTACGTATTGTACATCGTAAGGTAACGATGCAAAGTCAATTTGGCGGGATGCGTTGATCTGCAAGCGACTGAAAGGCGGGCAGGGCAGGAGATAAAAGCAAACAGGAATCAAAGGGACTCGAAATCTGCAGCGGGTACAATGAGGACCAGATTTGTTGTTGCTTTTATCATCTATTGTTAGAATGCACTTCATCTGCATGAATTTTTCATGTCTTAATGCAGGCCGATTGAATAATGAACATTTATAACGTACGGTGGAATGGTGCACTCTTAATATTTCATGCTGCCTGCACCGGCTTTTGTTCCAATTCCAGTTGATGCGACATCAAAGATTGAAGTGGGAGCTACCCCACCATTCCTACGTCTCTGATTCAATTTGCCCAGTTCTGTGGCACGGAACGGAGGATGAATTGCAATTATTTCTGGCCCATCGAGGTCCTGATTTACATCTTGCTGATACAACAAAAATGGTGGAGTGTCGGCATTCTTTGAACTTACTCGTCAGTTTTTTTTTTTTTTTGAATCTAGCTTTCCATTTTCTCCCTCCTTTTTCCCGTCTCTCTTTCTCTCTCTCTCTCTCTCTCTTCTCCTTTTCTCTTTCCCGTCCCACCTGGCAGGTACAGGTAAAGAAAAAATTAGCATAAGGCACACAATGGCGCAACTCCCCCCTCTGTGGTAAATCTAATTACTAGTCGCTTTCTGTCTGTTCTTCTGCTTACCGTTGGTGGCGTATCGCCCATGGCTACTGACACGAGTTGCGATGCCAAGTTGGGAGACATCTGTCTCGAGGGCACCGTCGGGGGTAACGGGGGCGCCGATGTCGTCAGTCCGGCCACCGGAGCGGCCGCACTGGCCAGTCCACTGTCGAAAACCGGCATGAACATCAAGCCTTGAGGAGGTATGGTGGACAGGGCAGGAGATAGGGGTTTGCTGGAAGCGGCGATGTAGTGCCCATTCAGGCGATTCTGAAAATAAAAACAATTCTTCTTAATAGGGTAGACAAAGAAGCGAAGGTCCCGCCGCATGGCCAATCGTAGCCGACGTAAGCCGAACGACGCCGTCAGCTATTGGACAAGGCGTAGGCTACTTCAAAGGCGAATCCCGGAAACTTTTCACTATCGACATTTGGTCCGTTGGAGAGCAGCAATTGTCGCTTTCCAACCGGCTCTCGTCGGATACGGACACTAGATGGCGCTTTCGGCTTCGTGAGGTGCGAATGACCAAACCGGAAAATTGCGAAGGGCACAAGGAATAGTTAAAAAAAGTGTTTATTGTGGTGTTGGGCTTACCTGCAGCTCTTGTATTCTATGCTGCTGCTGAGCCAGTTGCTGTTGTTGTTTCTCGATCTGTTCCCGCTGCTTTCTTTGTACGTCCCGATGCTGCGCTTCTTCTTGACAACTCTAAGTAAATAAACAGAGTACAGAGTCAATACTTGCATTGGGATACAATTACTTTGGAGCAGAACGGACATTGGGCGGATTAGAGGGCACCGGCTGCGGATAAAATTCCGATCGTTAAGAAAGGCCGGGAGGCGAGGGGAGGCAGCGAGCGGCCCGCACTCCACCTGGGTTGACAATGCCGTACGCTCGACAATCGCCTTGATGTTGCCGCCGCCATTAGAAAGGCCTCTGCGCCCAGACCTGACGCAGATGACATGGAGAAGGTCCCCGTCTGCATTAGCTCGTCACGTGCGGCAGTCGCGTGGGACCACTCTCTCGCTGCCGTCGACAAAGGTCCGGTGCCTCCCCGGGGAGGCCGCATCGGTGCTTCTATCCTCGACAAACATCATCCGTCCTCCTCCCGACGGACGAGAAACAATTTGGCGGAAAACACGCGCAGAAAGCTTTCAGCTTTGTCTGTTGGCCCGGCGAGGCCGGACCGCAACTGCGCCGGTCCACCGCTGTCTTTAATTAAGCGTCGACGACCCGGGATCGCCAATTAGGTTCAGGTACGCGCCAAAACGCCAGTAGGAGGCCCGCGGCGGGCCGGAAGAAGGCTCGAGTCGCGTTGATCCTCTGCAGCAGATAATTGAATATTTGATTGGGTTGCAGCAAGCCAATTATTCTTAAAATTCGTTTTGCTTTTTTTGCGCAAAAGGGCCGATGCACCCGGTTTTGTTTGGCAAATGAATACTTGATGGAAATCCGGGGAGCTAATACTTTCCCATCAAATATTCATCCGCCGGGGAGTAATTGGGATTGTTCCAAAAAATGTATCCGCACAAATCTTCCCATTAGCGGAGATAAACCCCCTAAAACCCCGTCCCGTAATAAAGCGGTGGTGGGCGTAATGACTGGCCATCATTGTGCGTCACACCCCACCTGTTTACGACTGGAACAATGTGCTAAAAGTGCAGCCACACGTCACGGCCGTAATGTGCGGCGGGCGGCATTTTAATAACCCTTTCGACGTCATAACTGATTAGGACGCGCTACGTAACGTCTTCGGCTAACCCCACGCGTGTCGTAACCCGCGTAGCGCGACGTCATAGTTGTCCCCCGGTGGACTGTCGAATGACAAACCGCTGGCCGGCCCACAATGCATCATATAATACGGAAAAGAAATGGGCCGAAACTAATTGGAGACGAGGCGCTGGTACATTGTAATGATAGTCGTAACACGTCATAAAGCCCAACGCCGGCCGAAGCCGCATTGATCTTCATTACAGGTGCGACTGTCACCGACGGCGCTTCCGTCCCGGATTATCTCCACCTTCGGGGGGTTACGGACCAAGTAATGGCCCGAGACCGCTCTCACTCATGCGCCATTGTCGCGTTTCGGGTGCCGCTTCCTACTGCGCCCCGAGTCAACTTCGCTCGTCCCAACTTCTGTACAGGTGCCGAGCAAAGGCAATGCATTCTAAATTTGCGGGTGCCGCATCCCAAAGTGTTTTACTAGTGTATATATCTCGTGCTAACGTCATTACGAAGAGTGACGTGGTGCTCGAAACCCTAATCCCTACTTTAGTCTAAAAAATGATAATATAATTATCTCTCTAGTGTAGAAATCCCCGAAATAGGGAATATAATTTAAAAATTGAAATTTTTTGCTTAGAAATAGATTCATAAATCCATCAAACAAGAATAAATTTCGGTAACTCCAGCGCTAAATAGCAAAACTGTGGGGATCAATTTAAATTTAGCGCGTGATTAAGACTTCATTGTTACGGATGACGCCGTTTTGGGGGAGATGTTTTAAGTGATGTTACCAAGAATCGAAGGTCCGGCCGGTCGGATGGCCGTTCGCGCCAAAAAATCTTCTTTTCGGTTTTAATTACCCCGGTGGGACTCGGTAAACAATAAAGAGAGTGGCGCAGTGGAGCGAGACAAACTGGAAAAACAAATTGGAGGTAAAAAAGATTGGGAAATGAGGAGAAACAAAGGCAAATTGTTTTTTCATGCAAATGCGAAGGGTTTGAGAAATTAATGAAAAGAATGGCAAGCTCCCTTTTATTATGCTAATGGCCCTGCTGTCATTGGCTGCCGCTTTTTCTCCCAGGACATCTTCCAGCAAAAATTTTCCGACAATCACTTTTTGTTTTTTTCCGCCTCCGCTCAAAGGCTACTTTTTGCCCCCTTTCATAAATCAAGATCCGTTCCCTCTTCCGTTTCCCTTTCCTCTCTTTTCGTTTGTAATACGGGAACGGGACCAGGCACCACGTCCAACTAGAGATGCTTCGTCGAGATGCCCCAGGCCTTAACAATCTCGGATCACAGTCTCGTATTTGGGACCACTGTTGAATGGGGAAGACAGGTTGAAAAGTCGGCAGTGGCATAGAGTAACAAAATAACTGTCGGCATTGGAAGAGGGGAAAAAACAATTCAAAAACTAGGATTTCGGGGTTAGTCATGCCTATAAATTCTTGTGATTAAAACATGCTTCGAATTTCTGATGAACAAAATGTATTGTTGTAAAGAAGATGCAAAATGTTTACACGCTTTAAACTTCGTACAGAACGGTAAATAGAAACTTTCTGGTTGGATTAAATTTGTGGATTCGTTTAGAAAGTGACAAGTAAAACGGCAATCGGCCGATAAACGAGAGCCGGTATCTGACACGAAATCGTCTTCACGTGTTAAAAGTAGAACTACCGGTCAGCGAATACGATCTTACGCCACTCGGTTTCTCCTTTGATAAAAATATCGACTGTCACCGGGAAACCGGGGACAAAAACACGAACCGGATTCACTTTTGGGATTTTTATCTACAGAAAACTCGTTCTTCCGAAAGAAGAAACAATCGGCTGTCACCAAATTGATATATCGAAAGATCGATCTCCCCGATCCCGGGCCGAAGAAAAATCTTTTGTCCACCATAAATAAGTCATCATTCATTCAGCCATTACCATCGCATTTCGGTCCTAAATATTTATCGAACTGGCCGGGTTATTCTTTCGTGCAAACAAAACCTCATCTCGTTTTTTTGTAATACTACAGGCGTATCTTTCGAAAAGAACCCCCTTCGAAAGCTCAGAACACTCGCAAATTACGTCATGTAAATTTTTTTTATCGTGTTAAACTCTACGTTTAAGTATCGAATATGCAAAAGATTGGCCTAAACCCAAATAACGAAATGATTACATTTAATTTAAATTCTAAATTGAATCAGATTCCAAACGTTGGTCTAACTTTATTTGCACTGACCAAATACCGATACCGTCTCGACTGAGCTAATCGCATCTCATAACGTGCCCAATCGCGAGGAAGATGTCAACGGTATCCCATTAAGCAGGCCTACTGAATAAACACGAGAAACGAAATTTGGACGCTACTTCCTTCGGCACGAGCCAACAAAATATTTACATTCTTTGAAAGCAAACTAGAAAAAGAAAATCGCTGGTTTTAAACAGTAGAAAGTCCAACGAGCAATTTAGGATCCTCACCTGAGATTGTTGCCTTTGCTGGAAGAGCAATTGTTCCCTCAATTGTTGCAACTGATTGATCATCTCCGTCAGCCGCTTTTCCTTCTCTCGGAGGCTATCTCCGGCCAGAGCCGTCCGGAAAGGCTCGCTATCTAACAGCATCAGGGGGTGAATGTGGTTCATTTGATTTCCTTCGTTTCCGGGCGCACTAGCCGAAGATAAAACTTGGCTACAAAAACGAAAAATTTATAAGTCCAGTATCGAAAACTTAGGCCAACGAAACTGAAAACAAAAGAAGAATGTAGTTATATAAGATTCCCGGTAGTTAAATCTGTAAACATTGCCAAGTACTAAGAGAATCTACAAATAACTCTTTTCAAATATCTGAAGTAGGCTATCCCTCTTCTGCCAAGAGGGCAGTCACGCTCTTCAACCGAAAACAAACACGAAATTGTTTATTTTATCACTTTTACGTTCATTGTATCAGTTTAAAACAACAGATCACCTAATTGATATACTTATATTGAAAATATTTCATATTTTCACTTTCTAAAATCAAGATTGTCGCTTTTGTAGTTGAGTGTGACTCGGATACAGTTTAAGAATGCGAAACGATCAGCAAAAAAAAAAGCAATTTAAAATATTGTAAAGGAAGAAGAAATTTAAAAAAGGAGTGGGGGACTTACCAGTGTTGATCGGCACTCTCCTGAACGGCCGTGCCATTGTTGAATTTGGAAGTGAGGCGCTTAAGGACATCATCCATGGAACGCTTGCCAGCCCGGATTTCTTGGCGAGGATGGAGGGGATCGGTCGTCAAATTGTGACAACTGTCGGTATCGTATTCGGAATCAGTGGGCAATTCTGGAGGGGGTTTGCTACCACTGTCGGTGGACTCCGCGTCGCATTCCGTCAACAGGTCGTCTTCCTGCAGGAAAGTCTTACTGTCGTCTTCGCTGCTGTCGAATTGGATCTCTAAAGGACCATTCTTCAGTTCGTCGGTCGACAGTTTGGAAGGAGGACTTTTGCGTTTGGAAGACATCCTTCTGATAACATAAGCCAAGATATAAAATTAGATCATTACCCGTTTCGTCGACGAAAAAAACGAATTATAAAAGATTTTAATAATCATCTTTTTATTAATTTAAGTGGTGTTGGCAACATTGCGAGTTTGGTCGTCGATTAAAGTCGACCCGGACCCGGACAGGCCAAACGACAAGCAGTAACTAGATTCGGTAGCGACTAAGACAGGTGATGTAAAGGTGCGACGGCCGCTGCATCTTTTCGATGGGCATACTAATGGCGGGCCACGAAGAGCGTCGGGCCGAGTTAGGTGTCTAGAGTCGAAACGATGTCCAACCGAATACAAACTGGACGGCCATTAGCCGGAGCTGGCAAAAATAACGTGTTGGGATGAAAGAAAGATACGACCGTGCAACGTCCGGAATGCCAATAGCGAAACAAATTGGAGGAGTCAAGCGGCCGGACGTGGAAATGAAAATTTCATACAAAAGAGACGCTTTCTTGCCGCGTCCGCGCGGGTTATTTTCCAGGAGGTGGCGCTGGAGCCAAGTGCACGGCAATTAGTCACTAGGGTGGGGCGGTGCAGTTGTTGACTGCACAGCTCACCTGTCATTTCCGCATCATTAGCAACATTACGAAGCCTGTTTTCGCTTGATGCATTAGGACGCAGGAGGAGAGGAAATAGTTTTATTAAACTAGCACACCACCACCACCTAATGCGTCCACTCGCCCGCTTTCCTTCCCTACATTGTAAGCTAGAGGCGGTAGCGGCGCCCGTTCTGCTTATTGTTTTTTATTTTAATTAAGTAGTAGTCGCACACCCGACGTACCCCGTATCGCTTTGGACCATCTAAGTTTTGGCCATTGTATAAACAAGAAGAGCCTTCCCGATTACAAACTGTGACCATTTATATTACTGAACCCACGATAGCAGTGCTGTGGATTCTTTCCATTGCCCTAAAAATTAGCAATTAAACTACATCCAATATTACGTAGCATCTAAATTAGGATCGCTTCTTAAACACTCTCCGTCTTTTGATTGATTCTAGTCGTGTAAAACGAAGTTTTAAACATAGAAAATCTCACCTCAGCAATTTAAAAAGTGAGGAATGTTTATATTTATACGGTTGTAACGTAGGAACATCCATTATTATTCTAATTTATGAAGCCCTCCGCATTCTCTAACCTGAGGTTCAATGCTGGAAGAGCGATAGAGGACAGTTGACCTCGTCTACCTGTTGCCTTCCCTTGTCAGATTCGAGCCAATGGCGCTTTAAACTGAGGAAAAGTGTAAAAAGGATAGTAGGCCCGCTGTCTGAATTAGATTAATGATGTAATAAACGACTTTTACGCCACTGAAAGAGTTAAGTGGGGTTTTATTAATGACGCAGAGGTAAAGGTAATTGCGAGATGTTTGACGGTGGTTGGCCTGCTACGAAAAACTTTGACTAATTAATTTTATTTAATAATATTTTGAAGAGTCAAGGGCGTTCTTTTACCGGGGTAGTCGGCGGTTCGTCCTGGCATACATCCCGCTCCTAACCTAATTAGGCCCGAACTGGCGTAGTATCGAAGGGAATGTATATCATCGCTTCGAATCGAGGAGGGTGAAGAAGAACACTCGTTTAAAGCGGGACTGCGATCGATGGGCCGCTTCTTGTGTACACCGCAATTTCTAAAATAAATATTAACACAAATTTCAGAAAAGGAAAGGGCCTCCCGCCCACTTAAACCAAGGAGAGGAAAATTTAGATCGTGGATTCTTCCTGCTCCATCTCTTTAAATAGTTTCTCTTCATCATTTCCGAAACTCTTCAACGCCGAAAGGGGTCGAATTATGATTAATATACTTCTTTGTTTCCCATATTTTGCTAAATACATACGAGTTCCGTCTTAGGAAAGTCAAGAACGAGACGGACTTCGGTTCTTAGACAGAGAACTCGAAATTTTCCAGGATGCATTCCCAATCGGGTGGGTCACAAGCAGTGAAAAACGTTCGGCTCTCGGCCGACTGTCGAGATTCGTAATGCACTTTTTTTGAATTTTTATTATTTCGGAAGCACTTAAGGAAGTGGCGCTGTCGGGGGAAGGTGTGTCGTTGGTAGTTGCTTGGCAACGTCACGTGCCCGGTGACGAGAACGAAACGAGAAGTAAAATTGGATTAGCGGGATTGTGATTGGACGACATAAAGCGTCCCTCGCTTTCATTAAAAGGCTCCCTCTCGCAATCTACGGCTTAAATGTGGCCAGTGGTGGCGTAAAGGGCTTCACAGTTAATTAACATTAGATCTTCACTTAATTGCAGTTTTTACGGGTTGTGCTCCTCCCCTCGATCCGGGCCTATAGATAATCCCGACAAGAGAACAACCCTTTTTATCGTAACTCAAATGCTGTAGGCTAACATTCAATTCTTAAGCAGTTGCAGAAGTTTGAGAGATTCAGTCATTACCACTAAAGATATTAGGCCAAATCCTGAATACTACAACAGAAATTTCTCTTCGTATTAAGTAAAATTTCTCTATTTAAAAAAGAAGGAATGATAAAATAAGGCAACTCAATACGTTGGTGATCTGCCAACGGGAATGCCTCCAAGGGGGACTTTCTGTGAGAAACTAGTGAAACTAATACTTAAAAAGGCTTTAGGGACTCTATTTAAGTGTTAGACACGTAAAAAAAATCGTGATAACTCCACGCGGCTAGCCCTTTGGTCAGATGCGAACACATGACCAACTACAAGTGTTCAGTGGTGTTATTGTTATCACTTGGCCACTGATGGACCCTGTTTAATAGGAAATATTAATTTTTATAACAGATGGTGGCCTTCTGACGTTTAAAGACAATTTTATATGAAAGGGGTGATCAAGATAAAGTGTGTTTTTGTAGAGTCCAATTTCAGGTCTCGAACAGTAAGCATCGGAAATGAGGAAATGCATTTAAGTTTCATCCTACAAGTGTAAAAACTCAATAAATTAATGTGTATGCCTGCATCTATGCACATATATAGATATGTATAGCTTGTATAGCCTAATCGGTAGAATTAAAATAAAAGTTATTGCTGTAGAACGGATAATATTGGAAGAAATGAAATATGTACAGTTCATTAAGGATATTCGATCAAAAATTAATTCTATTATTTTGATTGTATCCTGTATCAAAAGAAATCATTGGCAATTTCTCACGAATTACTATCGCTAATTAGAGATTACTTGTTGAGTAAAAAAATTACGGTAAAGGATTAAAATCGAAGACGAAGAAAGGATTTATAAGTTTGTAGAAGAGGCACTTTTCGCAGAAGTAGAAAATCGAGTGAAAGGGGAAGGATTCTTAAGCCGAGGTCCCGGTTTTTCCGCGCGCGTCCATCCATCTGAGAGAAGTAATTTGAGAGTGGCAACTGATTAATGTCACTGGCGTGCAGCAACAGATGGACGGAGCAATGGAGTAAAAAAGATTAATGGATTGTGCACAACGATGTTTCTAATCACACTTGTTTGTCTCCCACCCTCCGTCATTTCGTCACACGCCTCGCCTAACTGCTTAATTAACCCTCAGAGGGTAAAAGAGCCGTTTTTTAAATACGGGGATCAATTATTCAAACGCCAACATCGATGCAGAAGCTAATGTCTTTCGTGTTTAACTACTCCGAATTAAAATTCAGAACATCAATTATTCAATCCAATAATTATTTCGATACTCTTCGGCTCTTTTCTAGTGCCAACCAAATTGACCTTTTTCTCTTACGAAAGAAAACTTCCAGTCATCTGCCGCTTCTTATTCTCTAACTTTCTAAAATTCTTCGCTGGTAATGGTCCACTTTAACCTTCGTTCCGTTCTCTACGAATATTCTAAAGGATGCGTGAAATAATCTTTAGAATACCCACGATCTTCTCAAGTAAAATAAGGTTTTTTTCTTCCATATTCAGATTCTTAAAGCTTCGATTTTTAGAGATTGCTTCGAATTTGTCTTGATCCGAATCCTGTTAGAAAAAGTTAATCGTCCGACCAAAAATTCGGACCTTAATGACCTGATCAATGCAGAAATTAAATAATTGAAAAGGGGATAGCCGGAGGCGAAGATGCGGTTTCGTTTTTGGAAGGAATGACACAGAACAGTGACGATTTTCTCTTACTTACAAATCCATTTCCTGCTCGATACAATGCGGCGGGGGAAGAGCCCATTGTGTGCGGCCAGCGTCAATGTCCCATCCACTCCTAATGGACCCTGGAGGCGATCTGCACTCAAAGCAAACTGCATGCAACTTTCATGGGAGCTAGCTCAAAACTTAACGGTGTCGTCGTCCATTGAACCACAACACTGACGACCGGAATTTGTCTCATCGTGACTCACGTCAGATAAATTAATGATGAGCCTCTTCCCCGGTTCTTAAGAAGAAAAACAACGCTCCGGTTTTGATAATCGGACCCCGTACATCGGCTCGCCAACATAGTGGAATGTACCTGGATTTTTCTAGTTTTACTTCTTTTAAATATTTAAATTACCCAGACGAGAGTTGGACGTCTCTTAAAGGGTTCCAATTTTGAAATATCGACGGATCGTCTGAAAGACAGAAAGAATTCTGTCAATTATCTTCCTTTTCTCTTGTTGAAAAGAGGAAGAAGAGAGAATTCTGATTGATGAAGAATAAAAGGAAGTGGAAAGAGCCGCTATGTACCAAAGGGCCTGGAAGATTCTTGCGCCAGCCACCAGTTTTGTGTGCGCGCGGCGGCATTGACAGAACCAAGACATCACAATGGATTGTGTCAGAAGAGGAGGTGAAAAACAGCGTGGTCGATGGAAGACGTGTCGTCTCCTATTATAGATAGTCAATCAGCCATAGATGGCAATGAGAAGTCCATTACATTCGACGCTGCCGGCGACCAGATCTGACACAAACGTCCGTCATGCTGTACAAACAATCAAAGACAAACACTTCATTCATCGCTGCAGTAATACTCCTACCAAACTTATCGTTTCCACAAGTGTTTCGACTCTTTGATCTCACCGATGCGGCAACTCTGATCTCTGAATGACGACTCCGAATATAAGAGACAAAAAAGCCATTCTCTCGCTTGCAGAGTCGTTTTTAACCCCTTGGTTTCTCTAAACAGTCGCTTCTATGTGTTACGGGGTCAACTTCCAACACGGGATCACCTTTATTTACGAAAATATAAAGAATAAGCTTTTGGTTCCATGCCTTCTGAAAACAAATAGATTTTTTTTCTGCATTACTGAGTGAAAATTTTTCAATGTAGATCGTCTATAGTTTGCTCCACAACAGAGGTAAGTCGGAAGCCCTTAGGTAGCACGAAATGCCGTTTAATACCGGGAAGCGCTCAAGTTTTATTAAATATAGATTTGCCGCGTTGGGTCCCCAAAGAGGGGCTACAAGCGCTACAAAAACACGTGGGTGATTGCGGCTTGTTTCCAATATCGACCAGCATTTCCGCAAGATCCCGACCAGAGGTGCCGAAAACGTCGTCTATCGATGACTTTATTGGCAGGCAAATGCTATTGTCGAAAGAATAATACACGGACGATCTGCGGTCTTTTCTTAATCAGATTATCATAATCTGTTTAGGGTTAATTACAGTAATTTTACCAAATTGTTTTGGTCGGAGCTTTCACCGCAAGGTGCCGTTTTATCAAAGTGTTTCCGGTCTCGTCTGTAAATCGTTAATTTCTTTTTGGAATATTTGAAATTTTTTCTATCGAAGAATTTTTTAATCATTTTCGACGCGGTATTTGAAATTTTAAATATTCGAAAAGTACTAAGTCGATGTGTCCCTAGACACGAATTCCTGTATATAACGGCGTGACGTCATTAGCGGATCGAACGGTATTTATCCTTTAGCGAAACCGTACCTGATTAGAAGCCGTGTAAAGACTGGAGAAAGTTTAGCGCCGATGGGGTCAATTGATCGCAGAGATAACCCTTTTCGGACAGTGACCGGATACGGTGACCGTTGATTACGTCACATCCGATCGGCAGCTCCGCCCGCGCCATCGGAACCGCGACCCGTTACTTATTAAACGTGTCCAGTTCATTAATAAGGGAAGCAAAGGCTTACTTACATCTCTATTAGCATGGAGGAGTCGGAGGAACTCTGCGAACCGAGTGGGACGCCTCTCTACTGTCTGACGGGACGACGTGTCTGACATTCGGGCGACAATAGCGCGTGGCGTCCAATGCCAAGTAGCGACGAGAGCAGCCGACCAATCGGGGCGACCAACCAGGAAGGTTGAAACAAGGAGTCGACCAATCGAAGCGCGGCGAATTGTTTGTGCGCGCAACAATGGGCGGCCGGCAATTGTTAGAGTCAGAGGTGTCCGTGTTGGATGAAATTTTCCAGCGATGTAACGCTTCCGTCTCGTCAGAAATCGGGGACAAGGACTCGACAACAAGAGGGAAACGCCACGTGGACTACAATTAAACTAACACTCATTTAAACATTTCCTTATTGTTTCTTCCCTAAGACATAGCACACAACACAACCAACAGCCGCGAGAAGGGAGTCGTTTAAACGTTTTTAATGCTACTTTTTTAAATGGGATCTAATTAAACCGCTCTTAGATCTATAAAAATTTAAGGGAAAGGTTGTTTAATCGTTTCTACCTTGTTTATTTTCCTACTAAAACAACACAAGGTGTAAGTAACGGATTTAGAAAATCAGGAATAAGCGCTAAGTATCAGAAATATGACAAGAAATAAAGTTATTTCCGGATCCCTGAAAGTGTCGAGGTATTTTGGATGAAGACAATAGCTTGAAAGGATAAAATTAACCCTCTGTAAAAGCGAAAATTAGTATAATACACGTAAGAACGGATGCTTTTAAGCAACCATAGGCCTAATTACCATCAGTTATAAGTAGAACGACAAACAGAATTAAATTTAAATTATTTCATTCTGCAGTAATAAGTTTTAAGATAACTTTAAGAAGAATTTTAAGCCCTATATAAATTACCAAATTGCTTACTTAAGCTTACATCTGGCGAGTCGATTATGATCCATTTGCATAATCGAACGGATCCCCTTGCCTACTAAAATAGGCGTAGAAAAAGGGTAATTAATAGTGTTCGAGTCGTGTATATTGTTTTATTTTCTTAATATTTTTGATAATTAATCTAAGCGTAATTAAAATTAACTTATAAAATATTTAGTTTTAAAAAAACCGAAATATTTTTATATTTAAATGGAATCTGAATAAGAGAATGGGAGTATAATAATGAAAGGATGATTTGCCTTCGGATGGTTTTAGAGAACGAATAGGAAAAACTCAGAATAAGAAATAAGAGGTAAGAAGTTTACAGAGAGAGGATGTTGCCAGGGTTAAAAGTGGCAGGCAGCGTCTAGGCGATAAATTTCGTAACTCATAATTACGGCGGAGGAGGAAGTAGCCGCTAACAAACACACCTATGGAATGGATTTGGAACGAGCCAGTTGTGCCTATCCGGCTTTCTTCCGCTCTTTTTCGGTGGTGGAAGTGGCCGAATCGCAGATTTATCGACGGCTGTAACAGGAAAATAATACTAAAGCGGAGTATATGCAAAATCTTTTTCTGTTTTTCTCGAAAGTCGGAACCAATCAGGATGGCAGAATACTTTGAGAAAAGTAAAATATTTCATAAAGATGCTAAGTGCTCGGAGTTTAGGAGACACGGAACCCAACATCAATACGGAAGCGATGCAAATAGTGGATTTTTCAGAACGATATACGATTGAAAGTTGGCATTTTTTAGTGGAAGTGCAGGAGCGGAGAGATGGATGCTTCCTCTCCTCCACTCGCCTCGCCCGTTACCAGTTCCGTTGTCATCGTTTCTATTTAAATAAGGACAATGGCTGACCATTGGGGAGTGATTTTTCCACTTTCCATCTTGTTATTAGTCATAATCGGAGCGAGTAAAAGTGGAGGGGAGATGATGCGGTGGGCGTTGGCGCCGATCCCAATTGTGTGGCGGCCCTTCTGGCCAGATCGATGGCAACTTCAGTAATTAATTCCGTCCCTTTTCTTCACCTGTTCCCGAGCCTCTCGGCATCGTTATACTCCGGATCTTATGAAGGAAGTCACGAAACGACACTCGACATTCTCTAGAATACAAATTCCTCCAGGTTTTTTTTTGTATGATTGTTTCCGACGATATATAATTTGAATGAAGATTTATATCGGTCTGGATGTTTTATAACGTTAGTTAAAATGCGGTAAGATACGCAACCCTTCTAGAAACACAAAAATGAAGATGGGAAGCGGCCACTCGTAAAGTTATCGCAGGAAAGAGAAACTTGGCCAATTAAAACAGGGAAAAGAAATCTTTACTTTCGACCATATCCGCCATCGATTGAGGTAATTCAAACAACGACTCAATGTTTTATCCATTGACCAGTTTATCTCGGCAAATAATTAGCGTTGCTTGTGGTCGTCGAGAGGTCCTAGGCTGCTTCAAGTATCGCTAACTAGCTGCTGAAGTAGAGGACAGAGAAAAATGTAGCTCCTTCAGAGTCCGATGCGTGCACTAAACAAAGCAAAACGTCGTTGCCACTACAATTCAAACCGACTCGTTGCCTGGATAATACCGGGTCCAACTACATTGTGCTGATAAAGAAACCAATTTCGATTCGAATTAGTCGCGATTTTTGCTTCTCTTCCATTTTTAAACACTATGTTTGGAAATTTTACCATTACTACTATCTGTTTATGCTCTGTCTTATACTATTATGAATTCTTACACATCAAACGTGGTTTTAAAAAGATATTTAATAGGGTGTTTTTAGAAAAAAATGTAAAATTTCCAATCGTTTTAGTTTGAAAGATATGCTTATATGCTTGTATTTGAGATGAATAATTATAAAAGAAGACCAAACAGTTTTAAGAAATGTGTAAAACTTCTTAAAGTGAATTTTCTTCAACCCTACTTCATATGTGTGAATATATTGGATAAATTACATTTATGAAATTATCATCTCTAATTAAACATTAATTAAAATAGATACATTGTCTTCATTCTTTAAACATTTCATTTGCTTAAAGAATGAAGAACTCGTTGTACAGTACAGTACGTTACGACGATAAATTTGAGTTTTTGTTGTGTAAAATAGGCTACATTAAACTTGAAGGAAAAAACATTAGAAGATAGATTTAAAGAATTTTTTTTTGCTTCATTTTTCTAAGAAAGTGGTTCAAAAGTTCGAAAAACACGACAAAAATTGAGCTCTTATTTGTCGGTAAATGTGTAACTTTTATCAGGAAAAAAATGGAAGTCTTGATCAAAGAAGATGGTGTTTATTGTTTCCTATAAATGCTTAGAAAATGGATCGGGAGAGGAAAACGAGTAGGCCTACATAATAGAAATTGTTTAAAAGTTTTGCCATCTTCGTCGTCGGTCTTCCAAATTGGCTGAGATGGTTGGATCTAATGAATAGACAGATCTATCTTTTGGCTTAAAACGACACATTTGCTGGAAACAGAAGCCATATTAGAAGCTCTTGTGAAAGGTAGAAGTACAGGTCCCAAAGGAACAAAAGTAACCAGTAGGCGAGGCACGTCATCCAATAAACTAACCCGCTTCATTTCATTGCTGTTGGTCAGCCGCCTTTCAATTTTGACAACTTGTCACCAAAATAAACGAGGGGAGATCTCTATCAAGCAATCCGCAGAGGGTTTATGAAGATAGAGTCGTAGAAAAACAAAGTTATGCTAAATTCGATCTAAATAGGAGCGCCAAACGCAGATTGGAGTAGCCTATTACCCGTTACTCCTTACCTGAGTTAGATAGTAAAATTTACATTATTATACTTACGATAATTTATCGGGCCTATGAATTTTTAGATATTCTTCAATGCTTTTGAGTAGTAAATGTTAATTTCAGACTTATTCGAAGTGTTCCGATATTAAAGTTTTTATATATTACACCTGAACTTTTTTTGCTTTGGCACGACAAACGAAAAGGATATGATGTATAAAATAATGTTATAATTTAGATACTATACATCGAGAACGAGTCGAATTTTGAAGAGAAAATAATTGTATTTTTCTCTTCCAATTAAAAATTTTACATTAGCCAACCCCCTCGTTAATTATCGCTAATATGAATAGTCATAAATAGCTAGCCATTCAGTTTATAACTTTATAATAATCGTCCAGAATTGCTGGACGATTCTTCCTGATCAAGTGCAATTGAATTTTTTTCTTTATCTTCATCTAAAGTGCGAATAATTTATTTTTTCCTGATTGATCTAAAGTAGGAAGAACTATATACTATCCGTAATTCTAGATACTCTTGATTTAAAGTAAGGAATCGTGTCCCCTTTAAATGAGATTAATTATAGATTTATTTCATTGTGTTTTCTATAAGTAAAGCCATATCAATGGATAATATTTATTATAGAAGGTATCAAGACTAAAAGAAACGATGCCAAGCAGAATTTTCAACCGAGCGAAGAAAAGTGGTAAGCGTTTCGGTCGCCGATTCCGAATTGACAACCGAAATTAATAAAAGGTAGTGGTCCGCAAAGGCCCCTACGCGTAGAAGAAACAAAACAGAAAAAAAAAGAAAAAAAACGAAGATATCAGTGTGATGATTTCCGCCATTAAAGCGCCAACCATCAGCATCACTTGGCTAAACAAGATAATTTGCGTGACTAACGCCGGCGTGGTGCTCGTCACGCTTTCAGGTGTGAAATACAACAACCTGAAAAACCCATCCACTTTTGACTCGGGTCGTTTGTCAGGACTTGACTAATCATCGGCACACAAACAGGACACGTAAATAAACGGAGGGGGCGTCGACTTCGATTGCCTCTTTATTTCATCCCAAACGATCTTTTTTCATCTCTGGTTTCTTTTCCGGAGCTAAACTCCCTAATAAATGGATGTAAGTGGATGTAATTATTATCCATTATTCCGTCCGTAGAGAGGAAGGGAGGTCGAATCTACGTGTCTCGTGATGTCACGTCTTAGGAGTGCGACATCACGAGGTTATGTCATTCGGCGAATAGAACGTGTCCATGATAAAAAGGTTACATGGTTGCTAAATGGACTTTTTTCGCTTTACTGCGTGTCTGCTTCTTTGATATATTGACGCCTTCCCCTTTTCGTAATTAGCGGAGCAAGTGCAATTCTCCAGGCGCAGAATGGATACGAATGGCCTTAATTGCCCCGCCTTTCTTTCCCTCTATAACTCATTTCCTGCAAAACAAAGTCACTGGGCTCCACACCGCCGGCATCTTACTAATTTCCTTTTTCTAACGAAGAATTACTTGTAAAGACACTCGAAATTTCGGGAGTCGACAAATGTCTTTCTGCAATCCCTAAACTTTCAACAACGTGCCTCAAAATTGGACTTTCTTACAATAAGCCAGCAACGTAATTATAGCTACAAGTAACTTATTAAACAAGTTTCCAAATAATTTCCAATTTTCGACGTTTGAGATACTTGAAGGAGTTTGAAAAGTGGCGAAAATCGGAAATAAAATAATGTTTAACTGGATTTAATCAGGATTAAAAGAAAATTGCGCAAACGTAACTATTAGATTTGAGAGATTCTCAACAATCTTTTTAGGATTAAAAACGTATGTGAAACATTTGAGAGTATCGAAAAACAAGAATTAATTAAATCTGCGATAAGTTTAACCGGATTAGAAAAACATTGAGTGATAATAAAACTCTTCAGCTGTTAATTTGTGAAGTTAAAACTCACTTAAAATAATTTTATAAGTATTAGATACTATCTATTTACAGAAGCCTATCTATTATTGGAGGATTTTATAGCCATTGAAGCCTTTGGATACCTGAAAGAGGGACTAGCCACGATATCCAAGTGTCATATTAAATGTTCAGTACAGTACAGTACATGTCAATAAAGGTTTGTATTTAGATAAATTATACTTTCGAATCATCAAAATATTCAAGAAAATTCTCAAAATATCGAAAGAAAAGAGGGGAGAAATGGAATTTAATCGGTTAGGACCGATAGAAAACTGATTAAAACAAGAATCCAATAAGCCGAATGAAAACAGCTAAAAGTGAATTTCTAATGGATAAGAGATAACATTAAGGATTAATTGAATTCGTCGTTAATACGATCCAATTCTTTCAGCGACAAAAATCGGCAGGATGAATTTCACTAGACTAAATTGAGAAGAAGC